TTACAGCAAAATAAGGAAACGAAGACTGCATAGCTTCGACTCTCCCTTGAGTAAGCGTCACGCAACGCGTGGCACCATTATGATGGTATAAACGTCTTATCATATCATGTGTTGCGTTACTGTCACGCCAAACTAGTAGTCTCCAGCGTCACGCTTCTTCTTGTCACAGCATTCTGATTTACAGGTTGGTGCGCATGATTGGGCGCAAGGTGCTGGGCAAAGTGGCAGTGGAGGAGGCATCATCATGGGAGGAGGGGGAGGAGGTGGCATGTACAATGGTGGAGGGGGTGGCATCATCATCATTGGTGGTGGTCCCTGGCAGCAGGTAGGAGCACAGAATGGCTGGCATGGTTGCATCGGTGGCAATGGAGGTGGAGGGGGTGGTGGGAGTGGTGGGAGAGGTGCAGGACTGCAGCACCCTGGACTACATTTTGGATAACAAGCCGAGGGACATCCCGCAGGACATGGTGGTGGTGGCGCAATCGGAGGAGGTTGCACTACAGGGGGAGGAGGGGGCATCACTACTGGCGGCGGCGGAGGAGGAGAACAGCAACCAACCTGCTGACACTGATCAGGGCACGGTCCAGCCTGAACTGGAGACACCTGTGGTAATCCTCCCCCTGGGGAGATAGTTGTTGACCAGCGCAGGCAGACTGGAGGACACTGCTGGGGAGGTGCGGACAAACCGGGGGCTCCAGGGGCTCCGGCAGCTCCCATTGGTCCCATAGGTCCCGCCAATCCCATAAGGCCTGGTGATCCAAGACATCCGGGAGTACCAGGGGGTCCAATGCATCCTGGGGCACCGGGGGGTCCTGGTATTGGTGGAGGAGGGGGTGGTGGTGGGGGAGCACAACACGATGGAGCGCACAGAGGAGCGCAGGAAGGAGCACAGCTCAACCCACATGGACTCCCTGGGGGAAGAAAAAAACATATTCAAATTATAAAGTTTCATGGTAAACTATTATCATAATTAAATTCTTGCATCTGATCTACAGTCGAACCTCCGCTAACTGACTCCTCCTGTAGGCGAACACTGAAGCACTAGCAAAACTGGTTTTGTTTAGCACATACAAACACTACATTTTTAACCTCCCATAAGCGGACACCTCTCTTAAGCGGACACTGTTTCTGGTCCGGGCGGAGGGTGTCCGCTTACGGGAGCTTCGACTGTATCTCTGACTACGTTTGTACTTGCTTCAAACCAGCCTCGTTCCCAGGGTCTCTCATCTTCAAACCAATTCGCACATCTTACAGATTTTTTACCAAAATAAAGATAGATTAAAAAATATCTATTTTCACGTACAGTACCCTTCTACTTTACATTCATCATAATCAATTGATATACTTACTCTTTGCCCTCAATTCAGCAAGCTTCGTTTGAACTAAAAAGTCAAAATAGGAAAATTAGTCAAAAATTCTCCCATCCCATCACGCCAGCATTGTGATATATACCAAATAGAAAACGTTTTCCGTGTGAATTTTGGGAGAACGAGAAATGCTGTGGAAACACGAGCCGCAGGCGATCGAGCAATCGAGCAATCGAGTCCTCCCAAACTTTCACGAGTGTTACCATAACTCTATGGTGAAACACAAGCGAAAACGTTTTCTATCGTTTTATGAAATAAAAGCACGAAGCAATTTTCTACGTTTCCATAGAGATATGGTAAATGGAATCAGAGCGCGCGAAGTATCTTGTTTATTTCATAAAAAGATATATCGGTTGCTTAGCAACTTCGCTGGCGAAAACCGCGGGCTCAATCAAATCTCGGAGGCAGGATTTCGTGCTCAACTGGTACTACTTGTTACCCCGACTGTAATAAACAATCCGAAACTGGTGTTATATTGAAGCTGTTTGGTCGCAGTTTCCATGGCGTAATTAGACCAGAAGTAACTTGTATCAGAGAAAAATTTTATACTTCGCAACCATAGAAATTAACACATGCTGAAAATGATGTACATTACATTGGTTCGATGGAAACGGAGAATCCCCGGGCATTATTATGAACAGTTAATTTAATTTTGGACCACTGAAGAAGACAACTTACAGGCTTTTAGCTTCGTTCGCTAGTGACAGGTCTTTAAACTGGTGTCTAATGAAGTTGATCAAGCACAAAATTGTTCACACGGGGAAAATATATATATAAGAATTGTAGGCTCGCTGGAACGCGAAGTGAAACCATTACAAAGGAGAGAAACGAAACGGTTTTACAAAGATTGAATTATTTCAAAAAAATGATTATTTAACTTAAGGGTAAACAAATTTAAAAAGACTCGGTAAATGATTTGATTATTGTTGAATGTAAAAATGGCATCAGCTGATATTCCTTCAGTTTCCTATGTTCTACCTGTCAGTTTATCGGTTATAAATTAGAAAAAGATTTTGCTATTTTTTTTATGTTGAATTATCGTTAGAAGCCATGAATGCTTTGTTATTAAACTTCGTTAACCTAATTTACAAAATAATCTGAAGGATTCTCTAATTCAACAACTTACCCACAGAACTTTCCACTTGAAGTGCTACGGCCAAAACAACTGCGATTATCAAAATCCGAGGCTTCATTTTCGACAATGAGAAATACCTGACGAAGAAAATAACGTTAACATTTTAAACCTTAGCAAAAACTTTATTCTAAGATCATTTTAACGTAAAACATAGCTAATACTTCTTTTGCCTTACATAAAATCTTTAAATAATTCTTTGCCGCCTGTTTGGGAATATCTGGACCCCGTGAAACGATGCGAAAAACATTATGAAGGAACAGCCTTTTCATGGTAGCTATATTGATTTTATGACATTTTATTTATAATACTTCTCTCTATGACGAAAAATACCTGATTTCTCGCATTCGATAAAATGTCCCTTCTTTCTGTCGTTTAACTCATGCTCATTCAAATCCCTTTTAATTTAAACCATTAAAGAAAGAAATGTGTGAAAGAAATAGTGCCTTACCTGTCAGAGTCTTCAGTAAGCTTTCTCTCGGACAGAGCAGTTCGCTGAACGTTTTGTTTCACAAAGTAAAAAACTACCAGTTGTTTCTTGCAGTACCTATTTATTTATTAAACAACACCTCAGCTCAGAAATGTTGTGGAATTCCATTTTTGTCGCATAATTGTGACGAAGTGTAAAAGCGCGGCTCGGACGTGTAAATACGATTTGATCAGCAGCCAAATAACGCTTTTACATCAGATCGTTTATGTTCAACAGGATTTTCACGAGATGATCATTTTTCTAAGATGTTTTGCTCGCTTCACTGAACTGTTAGTCGAGGATGTTTAAAAGTTATAAATATTTCACATGTCGTGCTAAAACAAATGGGTGATTTCTCGGCTGGATTTAGAACTTCATGATCAACCACAAGTAAAGAATCAATAAATATACAGGTGTTCAAACAAAACCAGCCCCTTTGATTGGACAGAATATAGTCTCCCAGAGGACAAATTTCGAACTTTAGGAAAATATTTTAAGTCTACGATTATTTACACTTTTTCACCAAGGGTGCCAAAATTTGAAGACAATATTTGTATTTCTATGTTTATTCTAAACTACATACGAGCTACAAAAAAAGCAAAGTTTATTTTATCCATTCCTGGGATAAATATGTCAAATAACCTTTTTTCATTATATTGTTTTGACTAGTTTGTTTCAGATGTTCTCAACTTTTAGATGAGCGAATTTATCAAATAAAACCTTCGCCCTGGGCGAGTATTTTCTCCAAAAGGCGTTTTGAAGCGGGCTAATTTCGAGCATCACAAATCTCTTAGCATACTGTAAGGGTCTGTAAGGACATAACATACAAACTAGTTCTACAATAGAGGGAGAATATAATCGGATAAAGATATAAATTCGGGAGAGGTCTGGGGGGAGGGGGGAGGATTTTGCGTCAACGGAGATTTTTTTTTGGGGGGAGGGGGGATATTTTCGGGATGGCTTATTATCCGGGGGGGGGGGGGGGGGTAAGGCTTATTTTACAGTATATTACTTCATTTTTCCTTATTTATCTCGTATCTGAAATGACCTTGGAAAGCAAACAAAGAGATGATAGAAGGGCAATCTTGAACTAATTCGTCACGTCACGTGCACCCTACAGTGCTTTCGACAGAAACGTAAACAAACAAGAAACGCATGAAACGCGACCCCGCCCATGAGAGAGCATGTCACTTATTATCATCTTCAGGTCCCTGTCTTTAGGAGTGTTTATACCTCGTAGAAAATGTTCTAAGAAATTGACCGGCTGATTTTAAATATGGCTATTAAAAAATTACCGAAGATTCAAACGGTTTAATCAATTCGATCCCGAAAATTCCGAACGGGGCCGAAAACAACCGAATAAAAAACACTGGTATACCTGTAAGTCAGTTCTGACAGTTACCAAGGTAACCAGTAGCAAATTTCCGAAGATTCCCGAAGATTATCCAAACGTTTTTAATAAATTTCCAAAAATTCCGAAGATGGCCGAAAACATCCGAAGCAAAAACACAGGTATACCTGTAAGACCTGTAACCTCTCGGTTCAGTGAATTACCATGGTAACCACCTAAACTTAATTTGGTAAAATGACAATTGGAAAAATGGCGTTGTAAACTATTTTCTTGAAATTCTGTTTACTGGTTTTAAAAGGTTATTGCTACGTCACGAAGATATTCTTTATCTTTTCAAGTCCTTAATATAAAATCAGGAGTAATGCTGGCTAAGCTAATGTCATAAAATCTAAGAAACTGGGAGAAAAGTCGGCGGCGCAGTGGCAGATACCCTGGGTGCCAGAGGCTTTTCTTGCGCGGTTTCCGGGGCGTCGGCCTTCGGCTGACGCTGGCCTCGGGCTGCCGGACACTGGCCTCCGGCCGATCCCGACGCGACGCGAGAAATAAACCTCTGGTACCCAGGGTAAGTGACAGACAAATTTGAATTTTAATACTTGAATAAAAATTGATTAGTCTCGATACGCCGCGATGAATTTGCAGACGAAAAAATATCCGCTAAATCGTGCAAAAAAGGCAAATATCTGCACTAGCCGGGAATCGAACCCGCGTGGCAGGCGAGAATTCTACCACTGACGAACCACCAGTGCTGGATGAACTGACTATAACTGATATATTTCAAAAGGTAATTTTAAATTACCTTTTATAATTAAAATTATATAGGCCAGTGTTCCCGAAAAGAAAATTGGCTCCTAGAGTCCGGCAGTCCATCTTCCCCTTAATACGTCGAACAAGAAGCGAAACAAAGTGAGAGAAAAAAAATGGCCGCGCGAAATCTGGGGCTACAGTCTTTCCCGCGCGTCTCGCCCCAGATTTCGCTCGGGCAATTTTCCCCTCTTGCTTTATTTTGCTTCTCGAAAAATCAACTATTAAAGGTAAAGAGGGACTGCTCGTAGTCTAAAGTTAGCCATGCTCTAACATAGTGGTTATAGTAATACCACTCAACTTCCTACACGATCTTGCATGTACGTATGTATAATTACAATAAGTTATGCAAACGAATCAATCTTCGTGTTGTAAAGGATTTTCCAACCCAGCACTGGTGGTTCAGTGGTAGAATTCTCGCCTGCCACGCGGGAGACCTGGGTTCGATTCCCGGCCAGTGCAAGCGTTCATATTTTGCTATAATTGTCAATGCTCAGAGAAGAAATTGGATTTTTATAGATACTATTTTTGCAGCGTAGTGAAGTAAATTCTTCATGAATAATTCTTCACACCCCTTCAAACCAGGTAGAGCGATGGTAATCTAGTCTAGTTTTTTTCAGTTTATTAGCTAGCTATGTTTTTGTACGTTTCACTTGCTTTATAGATAGAAATTACCTTCATAAAGAATCAGATAATTTTACTCTGGAGTGCAAAAATATATATCTTTGAAATCATTAAATTAACTTAAACTGTTGTCATCATTGTTGCCAACTTGTGCACGAAAGGGTTGTTATAATGCAGTCTTGTTACTTGTACAGGCAGGGGGCATAGCTCAGTGGTAGAGCATTCGACTGCAGATCGAGAGGTCACCGGTTCAAACCCGGTTGCCCCCTTAAATACTGTTTTAATTTTTAGGCCTTTTTGCAATACATCTGAACCTCAACATGCAGTATACGAGGAACAGAAGGGAAGACAGTTAAGATTATACTAAAGTGGTTCTTCGAGTTTTGTCACATTTACCATAGTTAATAGAGGGAAATGGTTATGAAGCCCGGCTAAGTTCTTTGTTATATGTTTTTGTTCGCTATTTTGGGGGTTGACCGTGCACAAAACCTGACAAAATACAATAGGTGGTTACGTGTGATGAAGCAACTATAGTAACGTTGCGATTACGTAATTCATGCATAGTGTATGAGCGCAAAACAAAAGATGTGCACGGTCATGGACCTTCCAACATAAATCTTTGCATCTTTGTTTGCTCCTTTGAAGTTTGCCGGGCTTCATAACCATTTCCCTCTATTAACTATGCATTTACTGAAGTCTTAACTAAAGGCATATTTTTTTCTTTAAACTGAAATTCTTCTTGTATGTTCCCAAGAGAGGATGATAAAAGAGAAGCATTCCCCCATACATGGGTCTCTTCCCATGATAATTTTATGAAATCTATTTTTAACTTCAATTCATAGCTGATCTATTTAAGAGCGCTACCTAATTGGTCAGTTTGAGTAACGTGATGTCGGAGCCTCGATCAGAAGGAAATACAAAATAAATTTCACAGCATGGCGTGAAACTATTAATAGATTACAAAAAATTACCGTGGGACACGAGGAATCCTTCTCTTACATCACCCTCTCTTGATGTTCCTCGATGTGAAAACAAACTTCTGGATGTCGAATCGTTTTACTCAAGGCAGTGGCATGAATTT